GCATGGAGCCTCACTGTCCTGTCACTGACGCGGGTGTTGTGTCTGCCGGTAGTTTCAGCAGCAGTACGGGTGGCAGATCTGAAACGATCTCTCAGATGGACCAGTCTGATGTGTCGGTCCTGCTCTGGTGTGGTCACTCGAGGGCGACCGGATCTTGGACGGTCATCTGTCCTGCCGGTCCGCTGAAACCTTCTCTGCAGTCGGGACACAGTGGAGCGGCTCACTCCATAGTGTCTGGCAACGCTGGCACATGACATGCCTGCCTGCAGCATACCAGTGGCCCTCTCCCTTCCTTCTGGTGACATTCGAGGCATTATGGAATGCACACAAAACTGACTAAGTGTGGCCTTTTTCTTGCAGTGATCTAAGCTCTGAATAAGGCCTTTTTAAAGGTGACCTGATCAGGCTTTGTTCCACCTGGACCTCGTTGGGTTAAAGTGCACCTAACGAGCTGTCGTGTGATTGGCAAGCTGCAATGCCTCACATTTCTTAACTGTGAAGGCCAAGCATGAGGATGTGTGAAGACTTCTTCAGCTCATACCTGAAGAAGACTCCATGGCCGAAACATTGTTTCCTTTCTTTTCAGCATAGAATAAACCCGTTACCTGTTCCTTTGCAGTCTCACGCATGCCGACGCAGCTCCCTGCTTGAACTATTAAATGTGTGCTTACTTCCTCTCACTTCTACACATTATTGAATGAAGGAATATTTTATATGTATATTTCAGAAATCCTATCCCATAATTCACAACTGAAAGGTTTAGATCAGGCAGTGTGGAGAAATCTCTCAGTGCATGACCTCTCTGGGTGCGACCGATGATTAAGAAGACTATGACAACCAACCAACTACAAAGCAATACTCTGTCGGGTGAAGAACAAGACATTGATACTCGGCCATCACTCGGTATCAAAGCGATTTTTAATTTGGCAAACCCAGCAGACTGAAGTCCTCAATCGGCTACCTCACTTGTTTGCAATGTCTACAGCCCATCTCATTAAGACTTTATCAATGTCTGGTCAGGTAGCCAGCTGGCCAATTAGTACAGGCTTAAGAAACAATTCACTTGCTTCCAAGTCTGTTTGAGTATATTCACACTTACAGTAAATAAGAAAAAAAAAACCTACTGGAACACCTTCACATTGAGAAAAAGCGACGACTGAAAAAGCAGTCCTCATGATCAATCAAATTTAAGACAGATGTTGTCGACAGTCGGTACTTCACGTACAGCCTGCGATTCCAAAACAGGAGACCCAAATTACAATTCTAACAAATTACTTTTTATCCTGATCTTTCAATGTAGTACAGGACCCACAATATAGAACATACTGCTCTTCCTTACTTTCGACTTAATAAAGAAATGGTACTGAAACCATTAAGATTCCATAGTCCTCAAAGCCTGAATACCTTAATTTAAACTAGAATTCTGAATCAGAGTGATCCTTTCATCCCCAAACAAATACTGTATGTAACAATGGTCAATCTCAAAGTCTGAGTTGTGATTTGCAGCACTGATAATTTCTTTCCCTGTCTCAGGGTGCATTCACTAAACATGTCTAGACCGTTGTTTACCCTGGCCGCCACAAACCGCTCTAAAATCTTTTAAATTACAGGGTTTGTTGAGAAGAGAATTGTAAATTAGCAAAATAGGATAAAACAAAATAAATAAACTGTTTTCTCCTTTTCAGTTTAAGAATGGAGCATTTAAAAACAATTCCGCAGATTATATGAATTCTTTGAGCACTAAATAAGAACTAAAGATTGATCAAAGAGTGACCACAGAACAGACCACAGGCGAGACTCAATAACATATACTCTTCAAAGACTGCTGTAATCAAGGCAATTTCACACACAAATGACACTCAGTGAAGGAAATGTTTGATGGAAGTTTGGGAATTAGATTATGAATTTGTTAAGACTGGGGAAAAAAAAAACAAATTTTGTGATATGGCACTCAAAATTGTGAAGGAAGTTAAATTTTAAATCTGCTACAGCAATGCATGTGGTACATACCGCTTAAATACCATTGCCTGAAGGAGATAGTGGATGTATTAATCAAGCAAAGACTGTATCCCTAGGATCCATCAATAATTATTTCAATGAGGTGCAGTTACTATTAAGCAAGCACCAAAGTGGATCTCCCCTAATTCCTAACCTTCTTACATGCTTCATGATTATTACATGATAATCTTCGGGATTACAGCATGATTAATACATATTTCGTTTTTACATGAATGGTTGTAATGTCTCAAAGACTGACTGGAGAAAGACTGGGCAAATTCAAATATTATTCAGACATTAAAATTACACAATATTTACAGTTATTGCCAGAAATCTATAGCTGACTTAAAAGCAGTCTTCACTGCCTTGTAGTAGTAGTATCCATGAATACGCATCATCAGAAAGCCCATGTGAATCAAAGCAGGAGAAAATAAAGCCATCTTTTCAAGCAATTTATTTACAAAGCAAGAGAATTCAAATGGTTAAAACTAA